CATTCTAGCCTTGATTAGGCTTCGAAGCCCCGCCTTCCAACCGGCAGCCAATCCCGTTGAATCAAGGGTACTTCCAGATTTTTGATATTTCAATTTTGCTCTTTTCCAGAAGTCGAAGTCGATATCGAAGACCTTCTCTCGAATCCATTTAACACTCAGCCACCATCACTGGATCAGCTGCAGCAAATGACCGGTTTCGATAAAAATTGGCTGATGTTCATGTACAGAAATTTCAAGCAGGTAAACTCGTCCAAATATGCCCTTTGTACGAGTGCCATGTATTATTTTTAGAAATGTTCCAATGGGCGTATGATGGGCTATCAATGGCGATCGATATTTCGAATGTTATTTCCACATGCAGTTGATTATCAGTTCGCAGATCGACTATATCAAGCTATTTCGCAGCTTCGTGGACATCCACATATCACATTTGAGGTGGGGCACGGCAGTGAGCAAGCTCCACCCCCTTTTTGCCAGTGGGTGGAGCGTGCCAGAGCGGGAATCTAGACATTTTTGTAAGAAAACAATTTCTGAAAGTTTTGAGAATATTTCTAGATTTTAATAACAGATCTTACGTCGCTTGTAGGCTCCACCCGGACAACTGCTAGTGGTTGTAACGTGTAAGGACGTCCAATTTGTGGCAGATGTACATGGGCCTAGCCCATTGGCGACAAACGCTTTTCTGAAAGATTATCAAGAAAATTTGAAAAAACAAATTAGTTTTCCGACAAAAATACACTCTTTGCCACTCTTTGCCCTCCTACCCCAGAAAGCTTCACATGATGCATTTTCTCTTCAGGACCTAATAATATGTATATGGCAACTTACTGAAGGAGGCGCTATCGCTTGTCAGAACAATCAAGATCATGAGCCGGACATTTCTGTTAAAGCAGCTTTTGTATTTGCTATGATGTCCCCTGATGCGAAAGTAAGTCATGGCTTATTGATTTTATTGATCGCAACAAATTCTTTCAAGGGACGAGTAGATATGGCGACATTTCAAAAATATGTACATAGTATATTTACACTCTATGGAAATAGAGAAGAAACAGATAATTCATCAACGCTAGGATTACCAACATCATTTCCATATCG